GAACCAAGGAGGTACGAGCAACCTCCATGATCAAGCCAATGCGGCGCTCTGCAACCCCATTCTGCTGTGGAGAGGCCGGAAGCGTGAACGACTGCTCAATGCCCTCCTGCTGACAGAAGGCCTCCAAGAGGCCAGAGGAAAACTCTCTACCTCTGTCAGAGTGCAGACGCAGGACAGGGAAGTCGGAGCGGAAACGCTCACTAAGCTGGAGACGAGATCTGCGGATCCAAGGGATCAAGACATCAGGGACGTCACCCTTGGTGCGCAAGGGAAAGACCGTGGTGTAGCGCGAGAAGTCGTCAACAACAATCAGGAAGTACCTCTCCTGACCCTGACCACGGACGCGGGCAGGGCCCCACACGTCCATGTGGAGTGTCTGCAAAGGAGCAGTCGTCGGGGGAAAGGAGGAGGAGTGAGGAGCGGCGCGCTGCCGCCCCTCGACACAGGGAAGACAGGGAGGAGCAGGTGAGTCGGGAAGGGGAGGGAGCACCCTGGGAAGACCAGCAACAAGGTCCCGTTTGTGCATGGCCCGAAGGCGCTGCACAGACGGGTGACCAAGGCGGTGGTGCCAAAGGACAGTCTCATGCGCCAGAGAGCGACACGAGCAGGGGGCGGACAGCTGACCTGACGCAGACGCAGACGTAGACGCAGACGCAGCTACCTGAGGGGACTCAGTGGTCAGTGTGTACAGGTCCGACCCCGGCTCTCGAGTGAAAGTAGCCAGGTGGCGACCCGTCCGAGCACACGTGCAGTGTGTCACGCGCTCGTAGGCAGGGGTGAACTGGTGAACACCCGAGTCCTGGAGCGCACAACCCGCCACCAAGTTCGTAGAGAACGAGGGGAGGTAGAGACCTGACAGTGTGCCGGACGGGACCGCAGGACAAGGAAGGACAGTGGAGGAGGTCGCAATGACCGGACCCCCAGAGGGGTCAGCAAGGGAGACAGCAACTGGCCGAGCGAGTGGCTCAAGGACAGTGCGGTCACGAAAGAAAGAGCGAGAAGCACCTGAGTCCAGGGTGAAGGTGTGCAGTGCTGCAGTCGACTCAGTACCAGGGGGCACAGACGCACTAGCACCTAGGGCAGCAGCCTCACCATCACCTGGGGTAGCAGACACGCTAGCACCTGGAGCAGCAGACGCACTAGCACCTAGAGTAGTAGGCTCACCAGCACCTGGAGTAGCAGACACGCGAGTACCGGGAGTGGTAGCCTCACCTGCACCGAGGGCAACAGACGTACTGGCACCGAGAGCGGCTGCCTCACTCACAGAGCGACTACCACTACGGCCACCCCGACTGCTCAAACCTGCGTACCACTCACGAGCCTGCTGGAGCAGAAGAGGGCACGGCTGCTGCACCTGTCCACTACCTGAGGCTCCCGAACGACGGACGCCAGAGCGACTACCACTACGGCCACCCCGACTGCTCAAACCGGCGTACCACTCACGAGCCTGCTGGACCAGAAGAGGGCACGGCTGCTGCACCTGTCCACTACCAGGGGCTCCCGAACGACGCACGCCAGAGCGACTACCACGCCGGCCACCCCGACTGCCCAAACCGGCGTACCACTCACGAGCCTGCTGGAGCAGAAGAGGGCACGTCTGCTGCACCGGTCTACTACCAGAGGCTCCCGAACGACGCACTCCAGAGCGACTACCACTACGGCCACCCCGACTGCCCAAGCCGGCGTACCACTCACGAGCCTGCTGGAGCTGCATCTGGCCACGTCAGGAGCAGCAGCAGTAGCGGCAGCAACAGCAGGAGCAGTAAAGGCAGTAGCAGCAGCAGTAACGGTAGCAGTGCTAGCACGGCAAAGCTCACCAGTGGTTGGTGCGGCGGGCGCAAGACAGTGGCGACAGCGTGGCCGCTGCAACAGCGGGGCGGGGCCAGGTCGTAGCAGGGAGCTCCGCGGCAGCTGCTGCAGGGTCTGTGGCGGCCGCTGCTGTAGGCTCGGCGGCGGCAGCTGCTGCAGGTCGAGCGGCGGCTGCTGCTGTAGGGTCGGCGGCGGCCGCTGCTGTAGGCTCGGCGGCGGCTGCTGCTGCAGGGTCGGTGGCGGCTGCTGCTGCAGGCTCGGCTGCTGCAGCTGCTGCAGGTCGAGCGGCGGCTGCTGCTGCAAGCTCGGCGGCGGCAGCTGCTGCAGGTCGAGCGGCGGCTGCTGCTGCAGGCTCGGCGGCGGCAGCTGCTGCAGGTCGAGCGGCGGCTGCTGCTGCAAGCTCGGCGGCGGCAGCTGCTGCAGGTCGAGCGGCGGCTGCTGCTGCAGGCTCGGCGGCGGCAGCTGCTGCAGGTCGAGCGGCGGCTGCTGCTGCAGGCTCGGCGGCGGCCGCTGCTGTAGGCTCGGCGGCGGCTGCTGCTGCAGGGTCGGCGGCGGCTGCTGCAGCTGCTGCAGGTCGAGCGGCGGCTGCTGCTGCAAGCTCGGCGGCGGCAGCTGCTGCAGGTCGAGCGGCGGCTGCTGCTGCAGGCTCGGCGGCGGCAGCTGCTGCAGGTCGAGCGGCGGCTGCTGCTGCAGGCTCGGCGGCGGCAGCTGCTGTAGGTCGAGCGGCGGCTGCTGCTGCAAGCTCGGCAGCGGCAGCTGCTGCAGGTTCGGTGGCGGCAGCTGCTGCAGACGAAGTCGAAGCCGCGAAGGGGCGGCTGAGGGATCGCGCGCGGGCGGCTAGCGGGTCACGCGCGCGAAGAATCGGCCGCGCGCGGGCGGCTAGCGAGGCGCGCGCGCGAAAAATCGGCCGCGCACGGGCGGCTAGCGAGTCGCGCGCGTTAAAAAACGAGCCGCGCGCGGGTGGCTAGCGGGCTGCGTGCGCGCGGTAGGTAGAGGCGCACGAGGGCGCTAAGGCGCACGAGGGCGCTAAGGCGCACGAGGGCGCGCGGTAGGTAGAGGCGCACGAGGGCGCTAAGGCGCACGAGGGCGCGCGGTAGGTAGGGGCGCACGAGGGCGCGAAGGCGCACGAGGGCGCTCGGTAGTGAGAGGCGCACGAGGGCGCACGAGGGCGCACGAGGGCGCACGATAGGTAGGTAGGTAGGTAGGTAGGTAGGTAGCGGTGGGCCCTAGGAGCGGTCCTAGCAAAGGACCTGCTCTGATACCATGTCAGAATGAACAGGCAGGAATGAGTGAACTAGCAGCAGGATGGGTACAAGTAGGAAACCCTAATCTGGGTTGTACCCCATATGGGCTACCCCACTACAGCCTAGACAGTATGCAGCACATATGTTTGACAGAAGCCGCGAAGGGGCGGCTGAGGGATTGCGACGGGCGGCTAAGGGTCGCGCTTTCCAAGCCTATCGATGGGTGAATTCGGTTCGTGATTTGTTGCGAGACTTCGCAACCAATGGTAGCACTCCTTTTTTTTTCGTTCGCGCGGTTGCATAGGTGGAATGTCCCGCCTGTCAAAGTTACCGACCAATCGCGTGGGGTATTTGTCAAACATTATATATGTTGTGTTTGTGTAGGCTGTAGTGGGTTAGCCTATAGGGGGGGTCACAACATTAGGGTTTCATATTTGTACTCACCATCCTTTCTAGTTCCTCATTCCTGCCTGTTCATTCTGACATGGTATCAGAGCAGGTCCTTTGCTAGGACCGCTCCTAGGGCCCACCGCTACCTACCTACCTACCTACCTATCGTGCGCCCTCGTGCGCCCTCGTGCGCCCTCGTGCGCCTCTCACTACCGAGCGCCCTTGTGCGCCTTAGCGCCCTTGTGCGCCTCTACCTACCGCACGCCCTCGTGCGCCTTAGCGCCCTCGTGCGCCTCTACCTACCGCGCGCCCTCGTGCGCCTCTACCTACAACGCGCACGCAGCCCGCTAGCCACCCGCGCGCGGCTCGTTTTTAACGCGCGCGACTCGCTAGCCGCCCGTGCGCGGCCGATTTTTCGCGCGCGCGCCTCGCTAGCCGCCCGCGCGCGGCCGATTCTTCGTGCGCGCGACCAGCTAGCCGCCCGCGCGCGGCTTAGGGTTTGTCACGCGACCCGTCGCAGCCTTGTGCGGCTCCGCGCACTGCCCGCGAGCTGCCCGCCGCTGCAGGCTCTCGCCGCCCGCCGCGTCGCCTTTCCCGTGGCGTCGTCACCTCCCTACCCGCTCGTGGCGGCCCCATGCTGGCAAACACGTGCAGCATTTTGAACGAGCCACACAGCTGTCGGAGTTTGGTCGAGACGCGATCGCAGTAACGTGTCATGCACGTCCACGCACCGGCCGGTCATTACTCCCAGCAGGCCCACATTTTCGCTTTCCGCACGCCAGTTGCACCACAGGCTCCTCCCTCTCATGCCACACAGGACTCACCTGACTTGACGGGAAACGGGACACTAGTGCCGCGTTAGCGATGTGGGCCGCGTTCGAGAACCAGTGAGCACCACGGTCGCGTTGTACAGGTGTACACTTCACGCCGGTAGGGATCGCGCATCATGTTGACGCACGCGGTATATAGGAGTAGGGGCAATTTCGCGCGCTGCATGCATACCGTGAATCGCGTCGCGGCGCCAATACTTGAAGCCTCCATCAATGCTTCGGCAAACACTTCCGCGGCCCAAATCCATAATGCCGATCCGCCGAGCGCTCCCGTACATGACATGCACGCGCATATCCCCACATGGAACACCTCACAAGTGCAGCCAGTGGTTTTTGGGACGCGTTTGCCCGCGTTCCATCCACAACAGCTGGTCAACGGGCTCCACCTAGCACCGCGGACATTACAATCAATTTCTTACGATAAAATTCGATAAGCTTTCTCGGGCAAGATTGTTAGCAGATGTGGCAGATTTTTTAAAGAATTATATAAGTTGGTTCAATATCTTATGACCGCTTATAATTTAAGCAAAAATTTTACCAGGTGTAGAAGAGTTATAGGAAAAAACATCAAGCTCTCTAGCAGCATTTTTTTGCATCGTCGACGGTCGCGTTTCATGCCCAGCAGGATGATTTGAACTCGCGTGGAGTATCCACGCCGCATCCCGGACAACGGATTGCTGAACAACAGACCGCGTACGCGTCCATGCCCTCAAGCCAGCTCTTTGGGATGCCCGTGCGTGGCTTCGTAGGGCCGCAGTACGGGAATGTGGGATTCAGGTACGGGTACATCGGCGTACAGCCAGACCCCATGTTGCACGCGCCCGTAGCTGTCGCGACGCCTCCAGTCACGCCGTCAACCCCATTCCCCAGCGCGAATCATCCGGAAATCCAGGCACCAGTGCAAGCCCCGCGGGACCGCATAGACCCATTACTGATGGGTGTGGACACCCATGCGCGCGCAGACGGCCCTTCGAAGGTCGCGGTTCCCGATGGTTCAGTGCGTGCGGAGAATGTTGGAGCGGGGATGAATGCCAGCGCGCGTGCACATTCGCCGCCAATATGGAACGTGAACTCGCTGTTGCCGGGAAACCCGGACGTCCACATCCGCACCCCCGCTCAACCGACCGCAGCGGACGAGAACTGTGAAGGTGAACAACCACAGGCGAACGCGGGGAACGCGGTACGGGGAGCGCGTGCAGTTGGAAACGCGGGAAGAGGAAGGGGGACTGGTGCAAGGGGTAACGCGGGAAGGGGAAGAGGGACTAGTGCGAGAGGGAACGCGGGAAGAGGGACAGGTGAGCGTGGGAGAGGTGCGATAGGAAGGTGTGGGAGTGCGAACGCGGGACGTGGGACCGGTGTGGGACGGAACGGAGGTAGTGCGAACGGGCGGAGCGCGCCTGGGGTGGTAGGCAACGGAGGCAGAGGTACCGGTGGTAACGCGACCGGAGGTACCGGGAACGTGCCAGTCAGTACACCGCGAGTAAGGAGGCGGCGTGTCGAAGTCGTGCCTCACACGGCACGCCTCGGATCGCGAGAGGGGAGCGAGGGGGATAGCGATGAGGATGACGAGGAGGACGCTAACGATGAGGAAGACAGTTGGAATGAAGATGATGAAAACTACCTCTCTAACTCGTTGTCCGCGCTCAACGAGGGGGAGGAGGAAGACAACGAACGAGTGCGTGGTACGCGAACGGACTTGGAGGTTCCCATCGCGGATTGGAACAGGCTTGGTGTGGATGACACGACGGCCGCGAAAAGAGAGGTGTGCATGGGCATCCTCTACGGAGTCTCTGAAGCCACGCTGAAGAAATATCGCGGTTGGGCAAGGGAGTACAAGCTATTCATGGCGCACGAGCTGCCGAAACTGGACGCGAATAGGTTCGGTGAGGAGGCCGCGTTGGAAAACGCGAACCCCGACGAGATCGGGGCCGCGCTAGAGCAGAACATGGGTAGTGACTGGAAGACGGCGACGGGCGACGAGCAGTGGTTCGACGGCCCCGAGACGAATCCGTGGAGGTTACGCAAATACGTGACCTTCCTCGCGAACGAGACGGTCGCACAGGCGGACAGGATGGCCACACTCAAGCGGCCCGACATATCCTTGAAGAAGAGACGCCAGTGCTCCCCTGCAATGCTGATGGGGCGTCTCAAGGCTCTGAACATGCTCATCAAGCTGGACGGGCCATCTTCAGGAAGCCGGTTCTGAATCTGCTGCGCGACTTTGCGGAGTGTCGCATCTGGGTCCGCGTCCAAGTCCGCGACCAGTACAAGAGGTTCATCGCGTAAGTATACGTACTCAGTGAACACGTATGCCGAGTATAAACCACGTTCGAACACAGGCTCACTAACTTCGAACTGGTTTACGCAGGGAACACATGGATCGCCATCGGGGCACGGCCGCGGACACGTACAACCCGGACGAGTTCAAGAAGATGATGCGGAAAACCAGCATGGCCGCCATCGTGAGCAGCTTCACACTAGCCAAGCAACAGTACACGCAGGCAATGCATCGCGACCTCTGCATCAGGACGATGACGGTCCTCAGTCATCACACACTAGCTCGCGGGTGCACGATCCGAAACCTCCAGCTTCCAGACATGATGATGTGGAAGCTGGGCGCAAAATCCGAGACGGATCCAGTGCGGAATGCGTTCGCGTTTGTCTGCGCGTGCAGGACGGGCAAGACAAACAAGGACTTCTCGCTCAACTACATCTCGGCAGTGAGACACATAGATTGGACTCTGTGCGCGGTCGGAGCCACGCTGCTATGGCTGCACTGGGTGTACGACTTGTCAGAATGTTGTAATTGTCTAGCCTGCAGTGGGGTACTCTATAGCGAGTACAACCCAAATTAGGGTTTCCTATATGTACCTTGCATGCTGCTAGTAGAACCCCTCTTCTCTGTTCTTTCTTTCGTTCTACCATCTCGATACGACTTGGTCCCTATCCTCTACGGGGACATAGCCCCCCCTCTCGACTTCACGGAACCTTCGACGTGGTACGACCAGTACCTCTTCTTCCCCCTTCGCGCGGGCACCGAGAAGCAGATACCGCCCACGACTCATCACGACTGGGCGGCGAAGATTCTGGGGGACGCGGGAATCACATGCTCGCGTGTTGTTCACGCGACTAGGGCTGGAGGGGCTCAGCACGCGGCCGCAGACGGAATGCCCTCGGATCAGCTGGCGAGACTGGGGGGGTGGCGCTTCATCGACGTGATGACTAAGCACTACCTCACAACTATTCCGAGGGAGGCCGTGCTCCTGAAGGCTGGCTTCACAGGGGTTGATGGTGACTACTTCCTGGGTCGCGCAACAGTTCCGCCGAGCGAGGAGCTGGAGAAGCTGCTGAAGAAGCACATCTTCCCATAGGCCGCCGAGGACAAAGGGCAGAAACAGGTATGTGTGGGCCGCGCATAGTAGTATCAACACACCGCGATCTTCCTACATAAACCCCTAAAACCGCGATAACTATCGCGTTGTTGTGTTGCACAGTGCCATGATTACAACAGCAAGATGGTCAAAGAGAAGAAGCCGGAGAAGCAGGACACCGCGGGTCTAAACATACTGAAGGAGCTGAATGGGGAGGCTAGAATGGCGGTCGCACAAGACCTGGCCATGTATTACATACACCAGCCGCGACACCCGTACGTGGTCAACAACCCGCTCTGCCAGACAGAGGAATTTGACACGTTCACAAGCGGACAACACCAGGCTGGGCGTAGAGCTGGCCGCGACCCAAAGACGGGTGAAAGAGCTGGAGGGGCTGCTGGAGGATCGCGACCGGCAGCTGGCTGCGAAGGACGAGCGCGTGAATGATTTGGAAGCCCAGCTGTCGCGTCTCACCGTGAGCAGCTCAGGGCAGACCGCGACTACCAAGTCCGGCAAATTCGGAACCGAGTCCGGCAAACACGTCTCGAGCCGCGGCCGCGCCTACCAATACCGCAACCCCCACCGACCAGGGGACGCGTAAGAAACCAGCACAGCCGACCAGGGAAGAGACAATTCGGGACGCGATCATGAAACCATGGGTGAACGCGACCAAGCCGTCGGACGGATGGAAGCTGTACAAGTCCACGCACGCGCTGGTAGGCGAGAGTCCAGAGTCGCTACTGGCCCAACCCCGTGGTGCAGTAACGCGAATGGCCGAGCTCTTGGGGAAGGAGAAGGGCGGCCAGAACGCCGCCCGGAACGCGATAAACCGTGTGAAGCGAGTCATGGACTTCATCTCCCGCAGGGTGGAGCAGGGAGACAACATCGCGGTCTTGCTCGAGAAGCTCGACAACGTGTCCCGAGCTGTGGGCATGTCGGGTGTGTCGGAAGGGATCGCGGTGAAGAAGAAGAGTGTTGACTCGTCACTGAGCGAGCTGAAGAAGGGTACTCCTGCGGAGGTGCAGTTGCGGGTTAAATGGATGCTTGTACGCGACCGCCTAATCGATGCATCGCTTCCCGCGTCAGAGTTTCCGGTCGCGTGGCCTCAGTACTGTGACCAGATGCCCCCGCTTGCGTGATTGGGTGGTCGTACCATGTTCGCGTTGTGTTATTAGTGAAGATGGTGCTTAGTGTTAAACCCAGTAGCATACTTCTAAACTCGGGATGCAATTGTACCGTGGTCGAATTGCATGGTTTGTACCGTTTACGCGTTTAATGTGATCGCATATGCGTTTACGAACTGTCCGCTTTATGTGATCTTGCGCGAACCCAACCGCGCTGTGAATGGCGAGGTTATGTTATAGCCACGGGTGGATTTGCGCAAAACAATGGCCGCGAAAGAAGCAAAAGAGTTGTATTACAAGAAGAAGAAGGGGGGGGGGGGGGGGGGGGGGAGGGGGTTATACAAAGCATAGACAGAATGACCACCGCGAGAAAAACTCAAGCAGGGTGGGCAAACTACCTACACTATCAAGAGTCTCATGCGACCACACAAACAAGTGTCCACATCATCTAGCGTTAACAACCTCTAACTACCACCTTCACGCGGACCTCTTCTTCGCGGACAGCCGCTTCTCCGGCAAAGCGAGGTAGAGCCCGTTGGCCTCCGTCGTCTTGGCCGCGATCTTGCAGTCGCACCAGGTCATCAGCACGTCTACCGCCTCGTGCGCGACCATAGCGACCATTGTGGGGTCGCCAAGTCGCGCGCCAAGGCGGTTCACGACCGCGGTCTCAATCTTCTCCGCGATCACCTTCGGTGTAACCTCGGGGGCTTGCTTGCGTTCATTCTCCTTCCTGGCACGATTGAAAACCGCGGTCACGATCGTGGCGTGACCGCGGGCCATTTCCTCAGGCGTGCCGGCAAGCTGCGCCGCGGAGTATCCAGCATCAGCGATAGTCTCGAGTTCGCTGCCGTTGCAGGTCTCCCACACCATAGCGACGGCGCACGCAACCGCACCAGCGAACAGTCTTGGGCGCCGGTGACATCGGGCTCCTCATCTGCAGCCTCCTTCCCCACCGCGGCCGCCCAGGCTATCGTGTTGCTGATCGGGGACCCGCGGCGGGTGAGGTCGCGGTATGTCTTGAACATGTGGTGGTACCTGCAAGCATGGGGAAACACGCAACATGGTTAGGCACGAGTGTGACCGCATTCGTGTTCAAGAAACCAATGAGGGATCAAAAGGCCGTACCTGTCAACATTGCCGCAGAGGTTGCGAAGGTGCATGGTGGTGAAAATTCCGGTGCACAAAGTCCCGGCCGCGGAGATGTCCTCAGCCCACTCACTCTTCTGCTGCGCAGTCAGCTTGAGCCCGGCGTCTATCTTCTTGTCGTAACACATCACCGCGATCGCGGTCAGGTACTGCACCTCCTGGAGAGAGTGATGTCCGAGCCAGCGACGTCTCCCGCCCAGCCACGGTTCGCCCACCATCCCCTCCCCACCCCTGGGCGGAGGGCGGATCCCACAGCCCTTGCGCTTGCCGCCTGCGCCGCTGGTGTCGCCCGGCCCGCACAACCTCTGCAGCACCATCTCAACCTCATCGTCCGCGTCCGAGTCGTCATCGTCGCGTTCAGTCTTCACCGCGGCTGCAGGAGGCTTACAACCACTGCGGCCCTGATTCTTCGCCTTCACATCTGCAGAGGGGGGGATGGCAGGGGCGATAGAGCTGGGTCCCGGCTGTCCAGGCGCGACCGAGGCGGAGTAGCCCGACGCGGGCAGAATCGCGGTGGTGATGGCGGGTGGGGTGGTGGTGGAGGCGGGCGGGGCGTCCTCGACCTTGGCCTTGCCTTTACCAGCTTCCCCACCCGAGGTCGCAGGCGGTGGCCCAGCAGCAGCAGCTGCAGCTCCCCAGGTGGACCCTGCAGCACGGTCGACGACCGCTCCCCCCTTCTTAAGAAGGTCGACGACGCTATGGATCGCGACCCCTTTCTGCCGCTTCCCACCCCTGCTGCTCTCACACTTACCTGTCTCCTTGTCCGCGACCCTTTTCCCCGTCTCCTTGTCCGCGACCTTCTTCCCACTCTCCTTATCCGCGACCTTCTTCCCACTCTCCTTGTCCGCGGCCTTATTCCCACCCTCATTCGCCGCTACCTCGTCCACCACCTGCCCCTGCGTTCCAACCGGGACCTGCTGCGGTGCGGCACGCCCGGATAGCATCGCGATCATGATGTTGAGGGAGCTGGTGACGCCACTCGTGTGGATCGCTTTCTCGGCGGTACCCGCGATGTTTGATGACGCGCCGTCGATCTTCCGCGCGACCTCGTCCGTGAGCTTCTTCTGGGCGTTCTCCATGGAGTCCACAACCACCCCCTTCATGCTTCCCGCGCAATCTTCCAGTCAGACCGCAGCGCGTTTCAGCACCTCCCGCATGTCGCGATTCTCCGACCTGTCCTTCGCGGCCAGCTTGGCCTCCCTGCGAACCACCAGCTCCGTGTTCCGCGCGTGGGTTAGCGCATTCTCCACCGTGGCCTCAAGATCCTCGTACTTCTGCGTGATCACCACCGCGAATTCAGCATCGGGCACCGCGGACGCGACCTCGTCCAGCTTGCGCTTCTGATTTTCCAGCTGCTGGTTCAAACGGAGGATCTCCGCGGCCAGCTTCTCCGGAGCCATCTTCACCAGCTCCGCGTGTTTCCGCTTGCCCAAGACCGGACTCTTGCCCGCGTACTCGCCCGAGTGGGTCGCGCTCCCGGGGCGGGGGGACAGCACAGCTTGCAGACCGCGAATACTCTTCCCTGCTCCCGCTACCGCGCCCGTTGGACGCCCGGCATGGGTGGCCGCGACTTCCTCCACCTCCTCCTCCTCTTCCTCGTCCTCTTCTTCGTCCTCTTCGTCCATCTCGTCCGAACCCTCGAGCTCCAAATCACCGCGCTGGTCATCCTCCGCGGCATCCCCTTCGTCTTGATCGCGACCGTGTCCCTCGCCCTCGTCCGCCTCCTCCTCTGCATTCCCGTCACCCCCACCCTCCTGCGCGTTAACAGCGGCGTCCTCTTCGCGGTCGGAGCTCGAGCCCTCCTCCTTGTTGTCCGGTTTCCCCTGGTCCCCCTCCCCTGTGTTCGCGAGCGCAAGAGCTGTGTTGAGAGCGACGTTATCACGACCGGAAACGTGAGATCCCGCTGGTTGTTCGTGCGACTTCTCGCGGTCACCGCCGTGGGCATCCCCCCCATGACCGTCCGCGATGCCGCATCGGGACCTGAACGCGAGCTCTTCACCGGCACGTTTCGCATCCTGTCGCAAAGTTGTCAGCGTCCTAGCAATCGGCTTCGCGATGCGAGGAGCAGGTTCGTGTCCAACAACCGCGTCGAGGTCGTTGAGGACTCTGTCGAACGCGAACCCACATGCGAGTGAACCGCAAGGGGCCTTCCAGGATGAGATGTCCTGAAAGGAAACAGGGGGGGAAACAGGGGGGAAGGAATGAAGGGTTGTAGACTAACGCGGCGGTGTAGATAAATGCGGCCAGGAAACGCGAACATTAACCAACTCACCAGGTCCACGAGGCGTGTCGGCTCGCCCAGCTGCCCTGCCCGGACGCACTGGACCGAGTCGTTCCCGTAGTATAGGCAGACGCGACCGTGAAACCACCTGCACGGTTCAGAATACGTTTCTTAGATGCATAACTATGATAGCAAACATGCGTAAATAAAGCACCTCTGCAACAGACTTACTTGACAATCTGGTCCACCCGGCAAGATGCTCAGCCGCGGGTGTGGGGTGACAGACGCGGACAAAGCGAGTTTTCCAGGGAGCGGTCGCGTCAAGCCCCAGGTGGTCCGGCCGCAAGAGCAGCAACATGCCCGCGTTAGAGGCCTTCTTGTCGCTCACCTCCCTGACAAGACCGCATGAGACACGACGAAAGGCATCAGCAATCATCTACAACCCCGCACGCAAAACATAACCAGCCTACAACAAGCCGCGCTGTACTCACTCGGACCAGATGCAGAACGCGACCATCTTGCAACCAACCAAGCCGTCAAAGGCCACATGCACGTCCTCACGTCCAGCGACGATGTCCGCGACAACATTGGAGGGCACCACCTTAACTGCCTCCTGAAGAGACGGGGACACGCACTTCCGAACTACCACGCTGCACGGGAAACGGAAAACAAAGTCACTTAATGATCGCGGTCGAGGTGTCGCGATATAAATGGAAACAACCCAGATTTTTCGCGGACATGAGCAGTTAAGCTAAGGGAGGCTCAGACGGATCGTCATGCGGGCAAGTTGGACACGTGACCCTAAATTACGCGACCGCGATGCACGGATCTGTGGATGACATTAGTTAGACTGAAAACGATGCTACGCGACCCAATACAGGCGCTATAACCAAGCCCAGCATGACAAGACCTACCAGGCGAGAAAGTCGAATGAGGTTGCGGTGAAAGGGTGCTTTTCATCAGAGAAGCACTTCCTCTGTTCGGGGGGGAGCTCCACAGTGGCGCCTGCGATCGAGATCGTAGCAGTGTAGGTAGCGCCCTGCTCGCCACTGTTCAACAGCGCCTTCAATTCGCGACCGGCCATGGCGGGGGCAGAACGCGTGTACTTCACTACTCGGGACGGACTGACTAAACGCGAACGCGAACAAAAAACTACAGCTCAGAAAGTCGCTCGCACCGAGAAGTTGCAGGTTGACAAGAAGGAAAGCAAAGTTGGAAAGGTAAAATGAGCTTGTGAAACCCTGTTTCACAGGCCTAATAGGGACGGGACGCATCCGGGATGGGGGCAGCGCGAGCAACAGGCTAGGGGGGGGAGGAAGTGGGGGGGGGGGGGGGGGGGGGGGGGCATTGCACGATGTGGGGAGGAACACGCGGGCCCCTTCGGACATCCCGATGTGGGGGGCGTTCCCGTCCACGCATGCGGGTGGAACCATCACCCGCCATGTGGCTCTCCGACCGCGGTCTGCATGCAAGGGGCGACTGTTACCACCTCGGGCGGGGTGTATTCCTCGTCGCGACCGCCAATAAGCAGGGTTACGATCGCAATGTACCCCTTTCTACACAAACGAGTAATACACTACACGCGATCATAAATGTAAATCGCGTTTAATTGAGCATAAACGGAGTACTAAAGCGTCCGAAAATTCAAACGAAAATTAAAATTAAGGGGTGATTTAAATTCGACCAGTAAACCCCTTCTGAAAATTAATACGATGAACAAAAATGAGGGGTGGTTTTAAGGTAAATTTTAAGATTAAGGAAAATGCCATGTGAATTGCAAATCGCGTTCAGCTATTGGGATTAATAAAAAAAGTGTAACACCAATGCGATGGGTGAACACTGCCCTAAATTGCGGATACACTTGGGCGAACCTTGGCGACCCCTCGCACGCGCGAAGTGAATTTCACGAAGGGTTTCCGAAGCAGGGATCCGGTATGCGCCGTCACCGATTGGCAAGCGCGCACAGGCGACGCTTCGCACGAGCAGCCGGGCGTGCGTAGTGTTTCGCTGGTGTCGCTGGTGCTTCGCAGCGTTTCGGCGCGCTCGGGGCCCGGGTGGTTGGCTCGCGAGGGGTTTCGCGAGGGGTTTCGCGAGCCAGGGCTGGGTTCCGGGGGGCATCCGGGTGTGGTCCCGGGCTGCGTGGCGCTGGCGTGGAGGGGGCTCGGCGCGGGGCCAGCTGCCAGCTGACTTCCCCGCCCGAATCTCGCTAGGGACTTGCAGCAGGGCGGGGGACTCCCGCTCGCGTGCAGCGGCCAGCTGTGGGCCGCGACAGGGCTTGCATCCGCGTGCGGCCCTGGTGGAAACTCGGTTCCACCAGGAGGGGGACCTGGTGGAAACCGTCCCACCAGGGCCCGGATGGACTGCTAAGTACGGCGACATACAATGGCAACGTCAAGCCCACGTACCGCTAGTATCCATACAATAAACATGAATCGGTCAAGCGGCACGCAAAAGCCCAAGGCGCTTGCAACCCGGAAGCCGAAGCTGGCCCGGAGTTCCGACGGCAGAGCTTCGGGGAACCAAACCAGGCCCGATGGCAGAGCTTCGCTAGTATTCCCTTTTTTTTAACAGCCAAGTTATCTGTCAGTTTAGTTCAACTGCTTTCCTGGCCCGTAATCACTTTGGAAGGCCAGCCTTAGCACCATGGCTGCTTCTCCGTGGAGTCCCCGGGCCAGACTCTTTCTCGCAGCGTCCGTACTCGTCGTGCTTGCTTGCACACATATTCAGCGAGCAGGTGCTCTTACTACAGATTTTATCGGCCCTCCAAGTGCTCCAGGTGCTCCAGGTGCTCCAGGTGCTCCTGGTGCTCCTGGCGCTCCTGGCACTTCAGGCCCTCCTGGCGGCGCCAGCAACGAGATCGTTTACAACCCATCGGATGGGAGTATGATTGTCGGCGGCATCATCTTTTATCCAAACGGCACATATGAAACCTTCGACGCCAGGATTTTCGATCCATGGGTCAACCGCGGGCCGGGGCTTCCGCCGGTGACTCCGGGCCCGCCGGTGATTCCGGGCCCGCCGGTGATTCCGGGCCCGCCGGTGATTCCGGGCCCGCCGGTGACTGGGCCGGGCTCCGGCGGTCTGACGGTGTCGCTTCCCCCCGCGTTTAATGCTGGTTCTGGCGGCTTAAACGTGACTGCAAACCCTGACGGGAGTGTGACTATTGGTACCACCAAGTACTATTCAAACGGCACGTATGTCACGAGCGACGGTCAAGTCGTCAACTCACCCATTCCGTCCAAAAATCCGGACGGCTCTGTAACGATAGGCGGCTCCAGCTTCTTTCCCAACGGGACTATTTTCGGCTCTGATGGGAAACCGGTGAATGACGGATTGCCAATCCCTGGGTTCAACACCTTCGGTAGAGGGTTCCACGTCCCCGGATTTACCGTGTTGGCAAACGGCACCATCACCCCAATTACGTTGGCAACTCCAGCTCCTCCACCCAAGCCTGCTGGTGAGAAGTCCTTTTCTTTTTTCTGCTTGCATTTCAATTATTGACGAGATAGGTCTTGTCAGAAGCTGAAACAATACCAAGCCAAAGGGTGCGAGATAGGTCTTGCATTTCAAGTATTATCTTGCTTCTCATATGACAAGTTTATTGCAACACTTGCTGAAACAAGCCAAAGGGTGCTTGTCATTAAGTTGAGCCCTTATTTATCTCCATTGCATTTTCCATTTCTTTATGACAGGTTTCATTGCAACACCCTCTCGCGTAATGAATGGGATCATATCCCTGGTCGCCTTTATGGTCTTTTTTGCATAGATAGAAAGCGCAGGCTGCAATCCAGCCAGGAGAATATTTTATATTGTAGAGGCTTGTACTCTGGTTGGAAGGAACTAGGAAATATACCAATCAGTAGAGCACTCGGTTGTCTTTCCAACAAGCCGTAGAACCCGCAACTCGCCTAAGAAACGAGCGAGATATAAGCATTAATGTGCTAGATAGTGCGATAGGATTGGAGCTCTCTGAAATTTCTGGATTGAATGCACCACATACAAGAAAGAGTGATTTTCAATGAGATACATGCATACAAAACGAACCGATCTATAGCAATCTCAATTACATCGAACCTCGTTCGCAACATCGAATCGCTGCATTTCGCGTTGCGAATGCATCACGTGTAACAAATCCAGTTGCACTTGAAGGTTGGAATGTGGTGCCAACGCGTGGGAGGGAGCTGAACTAGAGAGAGGGCAAGGGCGGTATGAGTGATCATACGGTAGTTTAGCTTGTATTCTCTAACAGTTGTGTGTTCACAGGGCTAAACACCAAGAGCTTCATTAGCAAAAGTCAAGAACAACAACGATGATAGTTGCAATGGCTACAATGGCTACATCAGATGCAATTCAGCCTGGCAAACAGGCTGGTCGACCGCCAGCGTAGCAAAGATGGCGACATGCCAGCACTGCAAGTTGACACCCCGCCAACACTGAAGAAATGCGGTTTGCCAAGCTAGAGACTCGGTGGCTTGCAGCGCTGCACCAAGGCAGCTTGCCTATGCTGCAGCAGGGCGGCCTGCTATCATTACAACCACAGGTGACAACACATGCGTACATCTACTTCACCGGTGTTTGTAGACAGTTGAACACGACGTGCACCGTCACGCACATCACCCTGATGTCGAGTTGGCCACATGCCAACGGTTGTGCCTGATGAGCCACGTCGACCACGTGCTGCCACGTTGGTCGGCTTTGCCATAACAACCTCGACGACTATCGCACACTTCCGCGGAACCTCATCGACCGTGTAAATTGGTACGTACTTGTCGACTAGGGCTCTCGTTATCAGACCAAATTGGTCTGATGGTATAATTTTCAGACTTATTTTTTTATTTTCATCTGATTTTCCTGTCTAGATCTGACAAAACCATTTTTTCTTCCTGGGGGACCCGTCTGATGAAACAGACGTCTTTAGATCCTAGCAAGAGCCCTGTTGTCGACGGCACAAGTTGACAACATTCGCACATATCACGTGCAATCCGCGGGCAGCCGGCTACACATCTCTTGCACCCGACTCCACGGTCAGCTTCGCCCAAGCGAGGGCGGGGCCACGAATCGTCAACATGGTACTTAGGCAGGGTGCAAAACTGAGGCAATTGCTTGTTTTTTTTTCACACCATGCATTATTGAGCCTGACGAATAACCTGGTACTCAGCGTATGTGAAATTGCGGAGAGTCACTCTGCAAAGTGAGCTAGACTACCGGGGGGGGGGGGGGCACGAGCTACTATGAGTGACCGCAACTTTGCTTCGTTCCTTAGCGCTTGCACATTCAAACGAGAAATCGGCAAGAGTTTCACTAGGCAAAGATGGATCTGCAGAATGATTGAACAAGCAATGACAGAAATGACTACATCAGGCACCTAGCAACTTTGCAGCTAGCCTGGTCGACCGCCAGCACAGCATGGTCGACCGCCTGCCAGCGTTGCGTAGAGGAGCCGCGCCAGCACTGCTGAAGGGCGAACTGCCAACACAGCAGGTCGACGGCGTGCCAACGCTGCAGCAGAGCGGCTGTCCGGCGTTGCACCCGCAGATGGCAGCAATGCGTACACTCGCAGGTGCGCGCAGACGATTGGCCCCACATGCATCGTTGTGCATCCGTCGAGTGTTGTCTGCGCTTGACTGCCGCGCAATTTTTCTAAGTCCCCCTCGATCCGGTTTTCTAACGTCCCTCAAGATTATTGGCAAAAAAATTGGACTTTCGACCGTCAGATCGATTTGAATCCCAACGGCCCAAAGAATTTTTCCCAAAAAAGTTGGAATTTGGAGCGTCGGATCGAGTTTCTCCTCAATGGCCGAGATTAGACGCGAATTTTGACTAAGGGAGAATTGCGCCATGTATGGAATTCGCGCTCGTCGATTCTACAATCAATTCGACTCGCAGTAAGCTGACCAACACCTATAATTTATTTATTTTCATCACAAATCTTTGCATACATCGCCAAACGGAAATAGATTGAGATAATTTTATAGGAAGAATCGCAGAGTTACGTGCCGAGAAAGACCAGATAGGTACAGCACTTCTACGACTCAAAGAACTCATTGTAAACTAATCGGCATCCACCACATTAGCAGCAAACGCAGCGGCGAATGCAGCAGTGATATCAGCAGCAGCGGCGGCGACACCGGAAAATTGTATTTACAACAACGGCAGTAGCTACAGTTAACCTTGAAGCAGCGAAGCCGAGGCAACCAGAGGTGTTCGATCCTATAGTGAAAGGGAGCGACGTCCGTCGATTCGTAGCTGGACTCGAAATTACTTTAAACTGTTGGATGCACGACCAGTCGGCAATAGGGGAAATAGCCGAGACAAATAGAGACTCCACGAAACAAGACCCTGCATCGATTGGGAAACTCCAGCCGTACACCCCGACAAGTAAGAATTCGTTAAAGTTATCTTATAAAGATACTTCAATCAAGAATATTACTTCTCGTGGTTTTCAAGCCTTTATTAAGGGAGAGTAAGAAATTATACCGGTACCGGGTAATATGAGGACCCCAGTTCGGAGCGTTGATAAGGGTCGAGCGTTCCGGTGAATAAATATTCTCTCCCAGAAGTACGGTGTTAAGGCTCCCCGCTGTTCCCTACAGGTGAAGCCTACACAGCTGCAAATGCTTAGGGGAAGGTTACAGGGCCAGGAAAAGTTGGACCGGCCTCAAGTAAATCCTTCTAACCCAGCTTAGTTGGGAACTGATATTGAGTCTTCAGCTTCGAGCGCAGGGCCTAGGAAAGATATATTCGATATACCCTATGATCCTATAAGCAACACCATCTATAGCCACTCGGAGCGGCAACAACTACAATTACTCGAGGAGACCTGCAACGGGTGACGCCTCCAGGCACTGGTGGACAGTGGAGCGTCCCACTCGGTGTGCGACCACGTGATGTTGGAGAAAATTGAAGAGTTGTCGGAGGAGACCCCGTTTACAATAATTATGGTGGACGGTACAAAGCTTCCACTTCATATTGGAGCGAGATTTTCTGAAGCGGTTCAACCCCGAGATCTATTGGGTCAACCGGAAGGTGTGCATCTACAACAACGGGAAACGTGTGGAGCTGCGAAGCTGGACGAATACAGTGGATGTACTGAGCTGAAACGACACTTGCACGGTTCGAACTGGCAGTGAACGAGAGTAACTGTTGTGTGATGCTACCATTCGCATTCACGTCTGTCTGCCTCCCATCATATGTTCGTGCGTTGCATACATGGTGTGAGCGTGTGCACGAAATTTGCGTTTGGTGTGGTTGGGAATTTCTGAGTATGTGTGTATGCTATTTGGCTTGAGCAGATATATAAAGTGACTTCTCTACTTGAGAGCTTTTCGGCGAACCAAGAATCGTTGCGATCGGAGCAAGAACGAGAAAATTACGTACGTTCGAAGTTCGTATGCTTTTTATATTTGGTAGCGACGAATTTGGGAGTTTGCCGAGTGACTCAATATGGGGTACAGACTTTTGGGGGTTGGGAAATTCGTCCCCATCACTGTAGATGCTGCCAAGTGGTTGGGAGAAGCGAAATCAGGTCGGCAAGTGTGGCCAAGTTGGGGGAGGTGAATTGTGGAGGTTGAGAAGTGACAAATGTCAAAGTTCGGGTGCCTATAAAGGGGGGATTTGTGTGGTATGGGGTTTCCTTGGTGCGGAGAGTCACTGCACAACGGGAGTGGACTATGGGGTTGTGCAAGTGATTGTAGCACTCTAGTAGCGTTCTTACTTCTTGCTTGTGTTCACAGAGAAGTTTGGCTAGAGTTTCCACTAAGGAAGTTGAAAGAACATTGAACATTGAAAAGATAATAGAGTACAATTGAGGCATGCAGAAGGATATGAATTGAATGGATGGCATGCAACACCTAGCAAGGGCGAAATCTGCCAGCGCAGCAGAAGAGCGGCTTGCCAACGCTGCAGCAGAGTGGTCTGCCAGCGTTGCACTGCGCGCGGTCTGCCAGCACTGCAGTCCCAGGTGACTATATGCAGTCGCAGGTTGTCTATCTGCGCAGATGTGCGCACCTACCAAGTAGGTGCAGGTTGACGGTTTCACCGTCAAACACTTTGCACAGGTGCCAGGTAGAAAACATATCGTCGGTTTCGTCATGTGCGCACCGTCGACCACGTGTTGCCGTTCCGCAGTTAAAACTTCGCTAAAACCCCCTGGGAAAAAGTTCGCACGCCTCCGCAGATTTTTGCACACCTCTGCAACTTCAGTCGATCAACTCGGCATCGCTCGGTCGAACATCGTTCGCCGAGCAGAGCTCCTCGACCCGAACTCTTCGACCAGAGCTTGTCGACCAGGATCGCCGACCAACACTCTTCGATGGAAGCTCGTCGCGCAGAGATCGTCGACCAGAGCTCGTCGACCAGATTTTGTCGAACAGAGCCTGGTCGACCGCAACTTTCGTCGAACTTTCGTCGA